AACAAATAATTAAACCTATATATCATGTCCAACTTTCAATTAAAGTTACAATTCTTATAAAATGAACTCAGAATTCAACTTATCAAGATTATTAAACAAAACATAACAGATATTATATAATATTTACGTATGGTTTTGCATAATATTTATCTTGGATATACTATATAGGAAAATTTTGGGTTCCAGTGGTGAATATAATATTTGAAAGATACTCGAGAAACTTTGTCGCTGTGACTAAGACCGATTTAATTTAAAGACAAGGGACGAGAATAGACCTATACCTATTCTAAAAGTTTTGTAATGCGTTTGTTATAAAAATATGGAATTCTTAATAGATATCAAACAACGAAAATTAAGTAAGTTTGTTTTTGGACAATCCTAAAGCTTAAGAATCAGAAAACTTGGGTTGAGTAATTAAGATATTTAATTTTACTCTCGATTTACCGCTCCCTCTCCCCCCCTCTTCAAAAAAAATTTTGTTTTGAGTTCAAGTTTTTTTTTCTAAGAATGTCAAGAGCGAGGAGGGTTTCTGAGATGATCCAGATTACCTTAAAAATAAACCAGTTATGTAGTTAGAGCAATTTCCAATAGACTTTGAATCATACTCGTAATTAGGCTGAATTATGCTAACTTCCCCAGTTTTATTTTCAACATTAAGTAGAATTCAATTCGGGTGAGCAAGGTAGTTATTAGTTCAAAAGGAAGAAGATATAAAGGTCAAAACCTAGCAGATATCCGACGGATTTTTAAAAACAAAAACAAGTATTATTTATTAACTACGAAAGTTGAATTTATTAAGTAAATGTTGAATAGTTCAAAAAATAGTTCTGATTAGGTTGTTCCAGAGATGGATATCTCCATTCGGGTTGTTATTTGAGGCTTCAATTATGTACTTCTCTGAAGAGAAAAATTGATTAGGGGGGTGTATGAGATATGACAGCTATCGGAGGCAATTATAGCGGAATGTATAGGCAATATAGCAACCTCGCTGTAATGAATCCAAGTCACAACTGTTCAGCAAACTTAATAAAATACGGGACCAGGTATTCCATTAAGGGATTCCTTAACTCGGTCCACTAGAATGGTGGAGCTTTTATAATTACTAAAAAAAATTTTTAGTTTTATTTTTTTTAGATAGATAGATAGAAAAATAACTTTATTCTGGGACACAGGCCCTTGAGAATAAAAAAAATAGAACAAAATTAAAAGATTACATCTGACCAAAATAAAATCAATCGAAAAAAAGAAATAATGTAAAGAAAATATAAGGTAAACATTCTATATACAAAACAAACGAAACTATATACAAAACAATTAATGCTATGACAAGACACTAAAAGCTATTTGCACTGATAGACCAGTGCTCTTTTACACACATTTATATACACTTTTAAGAAAATAATAAAGAACCAAAAAATATCAAATTCTCTATTAAAATCAGCTCGAATGGTTACCAACTATCTGACTGTTTTTGGGATAGGAATTGGAATAGCAGTGTTTTGAATGTGGATATGGGTGGGGAATGTTGAATTTTGACAGGAAGGGAATAACAGAAATTGACAGAGCGTACAATAAAGAAATTTTGGAATGAGGCAGATCTGTGAAAAGGTATGTAAAGGTTAGAAGGTCGAGATCTTGTGGACAGGGAATGGACTGAGGATTTGAACTGGAGAAGGTTGTAGGCGTAAGAAGGACGATGGTTGTTGATGATTTGACAATGGCCTGAGTTTTGGTAGCATTTAACCTTAATTCATTTTATTAATTTTATTGCCACTATGGTGAATGAATTTTGAAAACATCATATCTATTTCCTAGGCAGTGTATCTTTCATATCCTAAACGACTCCTTTGAAATAAGGACAAAAATCTGTCTCAAATTGTCATTTGTCATAAAATCGCTTTTTAAAAACTGTCTGTAGCAGCACTAATCGATATTAAAAAAATGCCTGATAAAAAAAAAACACAGTAAAAAGAGTGACACGATAATATCTATACATTTATAAATCTAGAACAGTCTGATAAACAGGAGAGAAGACGGTGAGGGAAAACTAATATCTCTTACAAAAAGTATACTTTGTTTTGCTTCGTTATAAATGATATTTTTTCGTTATTAATAGGTAGTGGGGTAGCTCTGTGGTAGAGCATGGATTTTCCACTGCCCAAGGTCCCTGGTTCGATTCCCAGCTCATGGCGGAGAAGGCATTTATCCTGTTTCATCAGCCGTGGGATGACCCTAGGATCGGAAAACCCTTCTGGGACACACCCAGTGGGTACCCCTAATTAAATAATAGTTTAACGGAAAAACCTGGCAGTTGAGCGTGATCTCAATCAAATCATCTCCTTGTACCGTTAAGAACCGTTGACTAAAAACAGTACTTTTCCTAAATAGTACTGAACCCAAAATCCTTCATGGGATGTAGTGGTTCAGGTTTTTTTTCTTTATAAATTTTTTTATTTGTATAAGAAGTATAATGTTTTTAGTATAGTTTGTTTATATTTTTGATTGAAATACTTCTGATATCCACTAAACAATACACTACAATGCCATCAAAGTGGTCAATTTTCCGATTTAAATTGATATCCAATGAACAATACATAATTGTCAAGACGTCTAAAATTCACTAATTATCTAACTAATTACAACGTACATAACCGTCCTGGGCTTATTATTTTATATTGCCTACGTTCTCTATGTTCCTTCATTATCATCCTCCATTCCTTGAACATAACGATCCACTCTGACTTATAGTCCTTTCTAAGAACTGCTTCTTTTGGTGTGCCCTTTGCCTTTCAAGCTGGCTCTTTTTTAGAATTCTCTCCTCCTTTCTTATTTTCTCCTTATTGAACAACACCTCGGTTGTCTACCCTGTGTATAAATTAAAATGGTCTTATATTGAAAATCCATTTCTTTATTATTAGGGTTTACGATTCTAGACTAAATTAAATTAAATATTATTTACTAGAGACCTATATGAAAAAAAAATCGGTAATAGTTAATTAAATAATAATGCTACCTATTGATTTGGTAAAACCAAGAAGACGTAGTGCTACTAAACAACTCTTTGAGGTGCTCAGTCTCTCACACTTCACTAGTATATTACTAGACCTAGAAAACTGTAATTGTGTATAAGTTTTATTTTACCGTTTATTTTTGTCCGTAGTTACAAAAACATAATATCAGTACAATTTACTTTGCAGCTTAATTTAGTTAAAATATACATAAGATGTAGAAGGTTAATATGTCTTGGAATAGGCATGTGAAAAAGGAGTCCCCAGCGGTTTTCTTCCTGTCTTGAATTTAATATTTACAGTTAGTGGAGCTTTTTTAAGCCTCCTTCGGGTGATATTGGGCATGTTAAATGTGGCCATGCCTCGAATCAATGAGTTGGTATCCCGTGTAAGTTATTGTGAAATTTTTTGTAGTACGTTTGTATGTGGTCTTTAACTGTTGGCATCTGTAAGTCTTTATGTAAAGTAAGGTTATGACGTACCACGGAGCCTTGGTGATAGTCCTGAAAGTTTTTGATTGAAAAGTCTGTAATTGGCTGATGTGAGTATATTTGGCTGTCCCGTATATCTGTGAAGCGTAGGTCCAAAGGGCCTTAAGTAGGTAAATATATGTGTGTTCTTTGTGTTTAAGTTTTAATTTTGAATGTCTTGAAAGGAGTACAATAGTCATAGTTTTAGGTTTTGAGTCTTTGTTTTGTTTTTGATATGTGGGCCCCATGTCATTCTTCTGTCAAAGGTTAGCCCAAGATATATTGAACTTTGTCTGTCTGAGGAATTTGGACATTGTCAAGGTAAATAGCAGGCAAAGTTTCACGTCGAAGGGTAAAATTGATATGTAGTGATTTGTCTTGGTTGAGTCGAATTTTCCAGAGTTTGCATCAGTCGTAAAATTTGTTTAGGTGATATTGTAGAGTCTGTGAGGCGTGTATTGAATTTTGATGGCAACATTGTTGTATCGTCTGCGTAAGTAGCGGGCAGAGTATTGACAGGATCTGGAATATCATATGTGGAAATGATATACAACTGAGGAGCGAGTAATGAACCCTGAGGCACTCCTGCTGAGGCTGGTTTAATATTAGAAAGTTCTAAACCCTGGCAAACAGAGAAAAATCTGTCACAAAGAAAAGATTGAAGAATAACATAGTAGGTTGGGAGATCTCCGCTGGCTTTTAATACCAGTGAAATGGTTGAGGAAGAATCGCAGTTATCTCTTTAAGCCTTGCTTTCCCTCCACATGTGGGGGAATAAGTATGGTTCGAAGTTCCCATGGCCTAGTGTAAATAGGTATACTTGCATCTAAAATGTTTATTTTCATTACATTTTTTTTTAAAGATAATTTTAATTCTATTTTATTCATTTATTTTCATTCTATTATTTATATTTTCTTCCTTCACTATGATATTTTATTTTGTTCTTTAGTAGCTTTATATCATTTGAAGTTAGCTTATTTTTTTTTAATTTGTAAATATGGTGTGAATGTGCTCTCAGAACTCTATTATAAATGTCCTTTATTGAGACAGATTGTAATATTTATCAATAAACAGATAATCAGTAGTTTGGGAGGAGTATCGTCTTAAATTCGATAAGAAATTTCTGATGCCAGACGCTTGAGCAACATCCAGAAATACTCCTGTTGCATATAATCTGTGCTCTATTCTCATTGCATTGTATCGTATTCGATAAACTCGATGTAATTGATAAATGGTTGAATGGTGTAAATGAAATCTAAATTGATGTTCAGGTATTATGTTTTCATTAGTCAGTGTGTCGAAAAGTCGTTTGTAGTTGAAACGTAGCAATATTTAAGGAGCTTTCTAATTATTTTTGATGATCATTATCGTTAAAATTAATCCTATTAACAATATAATTATTTAAAGATATAAGTAAATTTGAATAATTTGTGTAATATTAATGTAATTATAACTAAACTGATGAATAAGATAAGTGACACCCTAATGCAAAGAAAAAATAATATTTTATTTTTATTTTCAGGGAAGAAATCGACAACATAACTGCTCAGATAAAAAAGGAATGTTTCGCTGTTGCTGAAAATTATACAGGTATATCTAAAATCATTGTTTGAATCAGTTTTATTTAAATTATCTACTTTTCTTTTAGTTTTATTATTGCAAAAAAAAAAAAAAACTTGTACCACTACAACCCATGAAGGGCTTGGGGTTCAGTACTATTTAGGGAAAGCACTGTTTCTAGGTCATCGGTTGTGCAAGGAGGTGATTTGACCGAGATCACGCTCAACCGCGAGGTTTTCCCCCTTAATTAATTATTTAATTAAGGGTACCCACTTTATAGATGCTGGTTGTGCCCCAGGAGGGTCTCTCGACCCAGGGTCACCTCAAGGCCAATGAAACAGATAAATAAATTTTCTGCCATGAGCCGGGATTCGAACCTGAGACCTTTGCGTTGGACGCTCAGTGCCCTACCATTGAGCTATCCCACTCCTTTATTTATTTCAAAGACATTACGATATTGCACTACAAGGAAAAAAGAAAGTCTCATTCTGTAAATAACAAATTTTTATGCTATGACAATCCGAATTATCTAAATTTGATATTTTGAAGGTGGAGGTCAATCGAATCGGTCCTATATTTTTGTAGGTCTTTTTTTTCAACTTTGCGATCGTATTATTTTTCGAATCAAGTGGAAATAGAAATGTATATTCATGAGTTTATAGTAACAAATTAAATAGAAAAAGTTTGCGGATATCTAGATTGAAAACGTCTCAATTCCTAACATTTTCGTAAATAAAATGTTTGTAGGTTACTATGAGATTAACCTATTTACGAAGTTTTAGGCGGATGTTAACAATTAGATAAAAAGAGGTCTGTACCACGAATTATCCAGTCCTCATGTGATTTCAATTGATATTTTCATATTTTGTGCTCCTTATAATTTTCTACGATTTATATATTGAAAGCATTTTTTGTTTAGTTTTTTCTGATAAGTCATTAAAAAAATATTTGTATCAACGTCTCTTTGGGGTACTCGAAAATACGAACATATATTCCTCACCTATCTGCTACTCATTGGCGATTACAATATTGTAAATCGAGCCCTTGGTTTTCCAGAGCAATTCTATGGAATAAGAAACGAACCTCGCCCTTTTCTCAAGTAAATAAGATAAGCCTTAGATCTGTTAGTGCTCTTTGAAAACAGCAGATCCTCTTATGAACTCAAGATAAAACACTTCCGAGCTTACCCCGGGATCAAACTTCATTAACAGTCAACTAAGTCCGAGGTTGGACTTGTAAATTAGCAGACAGGATGGCTTTGATCCATTTCCTTCGTGCACTTAGCATCTATTGCTCATCAACACCTAAGCTTAAGGAGAATATTTTCCTTTAAAAGTCGAATTGCAAATCAGTTAACATAATTTCCCTTCCTTGCATATTTGCTCTTAAACATAATTGTCCTTCCTTGCATTTTAGTAATGTCATGTTAAAAAAAAAAAAGTCAGTATAGCTTCCTCACCATTTTCATTGGCTAGACAATTGTCGTCTTTTATTTATTTATTTTTTTTTTAATTAAAATCTTCAGGAATTTTCGAGTTTTTGGAAATATGATAATCCAAGTTTTGTTCATACATGAATACAAAAATGCGGAAGAGTTCTACGTTTGTGAATTACGTATTTGACTATTCGTGATAAAAAAAAAAAAATATATGTTTTTTTTATACTGAACAGGCATATATACTTCTTTTTTACTTTCCCACCTATAATAGGTAAGGAAAGTATGGCAATCGGGTGAAATTTCCGACATGCGGTTTTCGACGGATCTATACGTTTCAGAGCCCTCTGAGTCCGAAAAACACGTTTTTACCCATTGGTCTGTCTGTCTGTGCCAAAATTTTCTCAAAAACTACTGAACCGATTTTGTTGCTTCTTTTTTTATTTTGTAGGGTTTTGACTACTAATGCCTGTGACAGAAATTCGGTGCTCCATGCGCAATAGCTTGCGCGCAATAAACGAAAAACAGGATTACGGTTTCATATCTTAGTGTCAGAAAGGGGTGAATGAGAGAATGAAGATGTAATATATATATATATATATATATATATATATATATATATATATATATATATATATATATATATATATTTATTAGAATATACATTTATTTTTTCTAAAAGGGTTTATTTATATTTTAACATTGTACATAGTTTAAAGTATCTTAGTATGGTTTCAAGAATTTTTTATATAGATTTTTTTATTTTATTTTGTATATAGTATGTATAACCAATATTTTTTTCTTTTCTTTTCTTTAATGAGCTATCATTATCTTAATTTGTTATGTTTGTTTTTATCTGGCCAGATGTAAAATTTTAATTTCTGTACTTTTTTGTTATTCTGAAGAGACTTCGTCCCAGAATAAAATTATTTTTCTATTCTATTCTATTCTATTCTATATATATATATAGAATATATATATATTCTATATATATATAGATCTGAGTGAAAGTAAGAAAATCTGTTGCCCGCATCACACAATCTTCACTATTTTCTCTACTTTTAATAGAAATTATTGTTTAACAATACAAAGCTATGGCAAAAAGTTTTTGATCAGCAATATTAGGAAGTACTGAAATTTTTACACTGATCTACCTTAAGCCGGTTTACGTTTCTTTAGTTTATGAAATAAATCGTACTCAAATCTTATGTTTGATCAATTTTCAGGAAAATGTATCTAGTTCAATTCTTTTTTTTTCTTCCTGAACATTGTAAAGATGTAAAGACTTTTCTGAAATAGGTAGGAAAGTCGTGTGAGTGGACACACCAGATATTTTTTATTCATGGAATTTACAACTGTGAATTGTAAAAATAATTTACAAAATTATTAAATATACATCTGGTAAATGTGTACAGAAAAATACAATAACATGAAAATAACTGTAGAGAATCTAACCATTAGTGGCACTGTAATATATGTATATATATATTCATATTTTTTTCTCTCGTAAAATATACAGAACAAAAATCCGTTGAAAACATTAATTTTTTTTTTAAGTGTTAACGAAACCGAAATTTTCCATTAGTCACATCAAAACTAATTTAAGGTGGAGTATAAAAACATGAGTGAAGTTTACTCTACTTTGATGTTTAAGAGGGAAGTCAGGAACACGACGAGCTGGTTAAACTTCAATGGGAGAAAACAGGGGGAAAGAAAATGAAAAACTGCCCCCTTGTTTGGCTTCCCTCGTATCTTCGTAACTATTTAATCCTGAATAATTGCATTTCTCCGTTCTCAGATTTACTTGAACTCGTCTTGACCTCACTCTTCTTTCGTTATTTTCTGTTCCGTTTTACCTGAATGTTACTCTTAACTATACGCGACTCAATAAAATTTAAAAAATAAAAAATATAATATGTGTACTTATGTTACTGATACTGGTACATCCAAAAATATAACTTCATTTAGAATTTCAGATTTATTTATTCCGCATCTACCTCCGCACCTACCTTACTCGCAAGGATTCATCCAATAAACGGAGGGAGGGGGGTAATTATTTAAAAGAGAGGCAGTCAATTTAATGGTTAGAGATATAGTCTTTATTTAAAATAGAATAGAATAGAAAATAATTTTATTCTGCGACAAAGTCTCTTTAGAATAACAAAAAAGTACAAAATTAGAATATTATATTTGGCCTAAATAAAACCGAACATGAAAAGTAAAAAGAAAGAGAAATAAGTAAAGAAAACATTAGTTAAACATACTATAAACAAAATATTAAAAAAATATATACACAAAACACTTGAAACTATGCCAAGACTCTTAAAACTATGAACAGTAAAACATAAATATACACTAATAGATACAATTTAGAAATAAAAAATACATTATATTCTTCTTAGAAATAAACTCTGTGTATTTGTAGAAAAAGAAAGTCGAATCTGATAGTAAGAATTGTCTCAGTATTTAAGTGATAAATTATATGGAATGATATATTCATATAATGATGTAATTAATGCATTATTAATTATTAATAAATTTATTAATTCCTTTTTAGTTTCTTTCAAAAGGTTGAAATAAACGTAAATCTAAGAACCACTCTGTTTTTTTTCTCGCCTACCTCGTATTTTCGGGTATTCGGAGTTTTTCTCCGGCCAGGAGAAAGGGCGGTGGATTATTTCCTGCATAAAGCCGCCGGTACCGCAACTAAAATCCGTAACCTACAGTTTATCAGGTTGCTGTACAACCCGTGTTTTGCAAACCGTCAGCTAGCTTGTCCATCCCATCCCGCTAACCTGTTTTTATCAACCTGTTGTTAATCAATTAATTAATTCGTTTTTATATTTATTACTACTTTTTTTTAACCCCTCCCTCCACTGGATTAGCTCATGGCCGAGGGGTCAACTATTTTTAACTAATGGACTTATATTATAAAAAATACAAGAATGATAAATAAATTTATCTTCTCTAGGGAAGATCTGGGATTTTCATTACCCTTATCTTGTAAAATAATGTTCAATTTATTTAATAATAGATTTTTTTTTGTTTCAAAATAATGTTTAATTTTAGTATTTTTTTTTCTATATAATATATATACTTCTACATATTTATAATTATACATATTTAGCAGAAAAGCAGGTGTTCCCCGATTTTTTTGTTATACTTGTTATATTATTTACATATTTATATATTTTTTCTTTACATAACTACGAATTCAGTAATAATCCTATCCAATAGTTTGGTTTTTCACAGAATATAGTAAAAAATGCATTTAAGGAATATACCGTCTGATTAATGTTTCTAATATTGTGGCTTATACGACACCTTAAATATAATAAATAAATTTAATAAAAATAATATAAGATGTGTATATTCAGTTGGAATCGTTTTGCTCTTTTTTTTTTTTACTATTTATTTATTTAATGAAAAATATCTATTTATATTTGGTTTATATTAAATTTTATTTAATTCTAGATATATGCACTCTTGTTTTTTGTTATTGTTGTATTATAATTTTAAGCATCTTAATATTGTGTATTATATAGAGATTTATAAAGTGAGAGAAGTGAGAGAAAAGGAAAAAAAATAGCATAAACAATGAAAGGAATATATATATATATATATATATATATATATATATATATATATATATATATATATATATATATATTATATATATATATATATATATATATATATATATAGATATTATACTTATATAAATTAACCACTTCTGTATATGTATATATAAGTTTATTTATTTATTAGTTATCGTACAGATTAAAGATTATGCTGAGTGTATAGCAACGCAAAATAAATGGGCAGCAAGCTTTTATATTTTATATGAAAATAAAGTGTTTTTCTCTCAAAACTTTGTTTAGAATTTAATTCGCTTTTATTTCTAATCCGTTTGTGAATACAAAGGGAAAAATAGATGGGGAAACAAAAAGATAAAATAAGAATATTTTTTTTATTGCAATTATTATTATTATTAATGTTATTTATTGAATGGACTGTATCAAAGCGATTATATGTCTTTGTACAAACTCTATTGAATATATGAATCTCTAATGGCTCTAATAACTCTACTCGAAATGAAGTATTTTTCACCTGAAAATCGAGTTTAATTGTTATATATTTGAGGTAGGAGTCAGATTATTTTTATGATTCAGAGATATTCTGAAAATCCTGTCATTTTATTTTTGTTAGACTCATTTTATCATGTTCAAAGTCCCTTTCAGTTATAATCTGAAATAATTTTTAGGTTGCCTTTCGAAAACTTTCTGTTATGTTATATCACATTATAATAAAACATGTTGTAAATAATTTATATTTCTTAACTATTCTTGAGGTTATATGGATCGTCCTGTATTCTTAAAGTCAATACGTGAAACATTAATTAAGATATTTTATTTTTATCTGAAATTAATGTTGATTAATCTGTATTGTTAGTATTACAGCATTCTAAAGATGGACGAATATGTTACTGTTAATTATCTTTTGAAAACAATGTTTTTCTAATCAAATGAAAACAGATCGTGTATGAACCTTGGATATACACCACATTGGTCAAAATAATGTCGTTAACATTGCTATGACAAAAGTAAGACCAATTAAAAAATATATAATTTGTTTCCTTTATTCATTTGATTATTCATACTACATTTTAATGTTGAAAAAATGTTGTAAAACGTCACGAAGTGATTTTGAAACTAGGCGGATAGAGTGGGAGTGGAATTTTAATTGAATTAATTTAGCCTTGTAAATCCAATGTTTAAATGTTAGCTTGGTAAGTCAGAGGACACTGTTATTTCCGACTAAGCCTTGTTTGAAGTTAATTTGCTTGATTAAACTTCCCTGCTCTGTATCGTTCAATTGCTACTAGCTGTACCGGCTTCCATAGCATTTGAGGTTTACCGCTTCCTGTCATCATTAACCCAAAAATTATTGCAATAAAAAATAACTGACACAACATAATAATTAGAAATTATCATTGTTATTATCAATAAAGATAAATAATTATAATAAAGATAACTTTTATTTATTGAAAAAATAAATAAATAAAAGCAAAAGCGTGAACAATAGGGCTCCGTCAATGAGGTTTTATTTTGATCTTATATGTTATTGAAAAAAAAAAAAGGTTAGAAGAAATCGTTTTGTTAATTAATTCTAAATACAGAAACAAAAAATTCAAATTACTATAAAATGGTTTCTTATTTTCAAAAAGTTATAAATAAAACATGTAGGGTATTTTGGGCACACGACCTTTTTTTTACAACATACTGTCAAATTTGTTTCCTTGTGTTGGATCGTTTTAAAAATGTTTATTTAATATAAATATTTTTATGCTATGTAGATAATTAAAATAATTGTAAACTATTATTAATGAAACAGGTCGAATTTCCAAGAGAACATTTGCTACAAATGGTTCAATTTCAATGCTTCCTTCGTTGTTGTTTTTTTTTTTTTTAGGAAGTAATTTTATGTTAAAAATTGGATCTTTTTAAAAATATTTAATTAATATAAATATTTTTAGGCTATGTAGATAATTAAAATTATTAATGAAACAGGTCTAATTTCCAAGGGAACATTTGCCACAAATGGTCCAATTTCAATGCTTTTAGTAATTTCATGTTAAAAATTAACACATATTGATGCATAAAAAAAAATTTCATACTATTGAATTATTTGCAAATAAAATTTTGTTTATATCAAAACTGTTTTTCAAGCCCTTTTTGCGGGGATAAATGTTATATATTTATAAAAATTGATTGGCTTCAAGAAGCATGTTTTAGAAAATTTTATAAAAATCTTCACTGTATACCGAATTTCAACTAATTTAGCGGAAAAATTTAACTAATTTTATCTAGCGAAGCTGGACAAAATTAAATATATATATATATATATATATATATATATATATATATATATATATATATATATGCATATACATAAACTGATATCTCTAAAAATTGAAAAGTCGTATTTTAGGGATTCTAAAACAGATATAAAAGCTACCCCGCAAGAACGAAAAAAATTTACCGGATAACGGCAATAATCGTTTCGATATTATAAACGTATTATTTCAAGTAGACATCTTGGTTCGAAACATAATATCATTGATATGTAATAAACCAAATGTTCGTTCAAAAAAATTGACTAAAGTTAGTATTTAAATATTAATTTTAAAAACTTCGGATGTTTATTCTAATAAATCCTAAATACTAACTAATGGTTTTCATGACACTAATGATCATGAACTTGATTCATATTTATAATAAAAATAAACAAACTTGAAAATTAAAAAAAAAACTTTAGTGCAGAAATTTTATGTATAATTATTTTTCTATTAAATTAGTTCTGAAAAAGAATATATTTTTGTACAGGTTGTCGAAATGGTAATATGTAATATAATTAAAACTAATTTGCTCTTATAAAAAAAATGTTCACAAGCTTTTTTGAAGCTTTTTTTTCTTGCCTTTTAGGCTACACGGTTTTTTTCCCGGGCGGGGGAATTATGCCGAGTTAAAATTTCAACCGGGTACCGCGATTTGAACCAGTAATATTTTTCTATCTAACTCATTATCATGTTGGCGGGCTTAGTCACTTGGTCACCCTCAGGATTGCGTGAACTTTGGTTAATATATTTGAGGGTTTAAATTTAGCTGAATAAAATCTTAATGTTAAATTATTGAACTCAGTATAGAAAAAAAATCCCTTAAAAGCTGATATAGACCATGCTGAATGGTAAGTGTTTCAGAGATAAATCCGAAGCGAAGGTGGGAGGATTGTGTTAAGACTGATTTGGAGGAGTTCAGTTTGGACAGCTCCCGGTGGATAGAAGTATGAATACATATGGTATTGGTATCGAACCTTTGAGTTCATTAAAGCTTTTATTGTTATAATGATTGATGGTCATTAAACAATGTCCCATTATTTCTATGAGTCTGTACCTATGTCGACTCATGATTTTATTATTCATCTTATATAATTTCTATTTATATTTCAGAGGGACTATTCTGCCCAAGAGAGTTCGACGGGTGGACCTGCCTCAACGCAACTCCTGCCGGCACAGTGCTACATTTTCCCTGCCCATATTTCCAGTTGGGGTTTGACCCTAAACGTATGTATTATATATATTTTGCTAACATAAATACATGTGTGTTTTTATATATTTAAATATTACTGATCCCTCATACTATGCTGTTGATAAAGGGCCAATCACTCCAAAATTTAAGAAGGTGTAAAAAAAAAAAGTATTCATAACCAACTGAAAAATATTCTACACGATAAATTTATAACCTATAAAAGTCTTGCTTACAAAACTGATATTTTATATTGGATTGTTCAGAAAATAAAGCAGGAAATCAGTTTAAAAAGAAAAAGAAAGAATTACAACTGTTCTGCTTTTTCATTCCTTCCGAATCGAATTTCCCATCTTTAGAATTGATAAACTCTAAAAACGCATTTTCTCATTCCCTTTGTCCATTAATTTTTTTGTCACGTAAGTTTTTTTAGTCCAGGTGTCTAAAAAAATGATAATCCGTAGGCGAGAGGTCCGGAGAGTAAGGCGGATGTGGCAGAGTTTCATATCCAAGCTCCAACAGTTTTTATGACGTCACACCTGAGACACGTGACCTGGCGTTGTCATGCAACAAAATGGGCCCCGTCCGATTGACCAAAGATGGCCTCATTGCTGCCAATTTCTGATGCATTACATTAATTTGGTTGCAATAAGATTAGGCATTGATGGTTTCTCCAGGATTTAAGAAGCCATAGTGTATCAAATAAAATGAAGCCCACCTAACAGTAACTATCACCATTTTTTTCTGATTTGGAGAATTCGGAAAATGTTCTGCTGCTTCTCCTTAGTCGAGCCAATGTCCAGAAAGTCTACTGTTATCGTAAAGTATTTACTTTTCATCACAAGCAACAATCCTGGACAGAAAAGGGTCGTTTATGGTTTGACAAAGATGTTTATTACAAACTTATAACATCAGTTTTTTCGGCGGTTGTTCAATGTGTGTGGAACCCAATTTTCAAGCTTTTTTACCTTTCCAATCGACCAATGAAGTGGTCAATGACGGTTGATTTGCTAAGGTTAAATTTTCCTGTAAGTTCTCGAACAGTTGTGCTTGGATTTTCTTCCGCCAAAGCCCGCAAAACATCGTCATCAAGAGAGAAAGTCCTTCTGCGACCTTCATTGTCTTCAAGAATGAAATCTCCCATACGAAATTTTTCGAACCATCCTTGAACATTGCACACATTAATGCTGCTCTTGCCACAGACTTGATTGATGTTTATGGTCGTCTGAGCTCCATTCCGGCCGAGTTTAATCTCGTAAAACATAATTATACCCCAATCACACGTTGATATCTTAGTAAAAACTGAATTATTTTGAAGCAGCGAAATGCTACAGAGGTAAACAAACGTTATTGTTGGAAAGAGGATTAATAAGTGTTGATATTCATACAAATGAATAATCCAGTAAAAGTAAACAGTTTGTTATATCGAGGGGTATTTTACGGAAAACTCAAAATCCTGCATTATTTTTCTGACAACCCAATTCATCTTCCTATATATCAGTAGTCAATTTTTTTTCGCTTAAACTAACTCGTTCCTAAACTTAAACGAACGTTTTTTTGTTCTTTTACATTTTAACAAGTTTTTTTTTTTAATTTTCTAGTAGTTTCTTTAACCGCTTTCCATTTACCGTGATAGCCAAAACAATCTCAAATTTGTCCGAATGGAAATTGAGATTTTATTTTCTTAAATTATTAGACGTTCAAGATATTTTAAACTAACAAACTCTTTATAACATTTGTCTCAAACCATATAGGCATACGGGATAGACCAGTGGAGTTCTGATAAAACATAAACATCTAATAAAACAGTCTTTTTAGTTAAAAAGTATTGTGTAAATCAGGAAGTGAACCATTCTATGTCACAGATATCAATCAAACAATTTGAACATCAAACTAAAGGAGAAAATCTTCAAATTAACCAATTTTATCTAAATTTACCGTATTGCAAGTTTTATATAAAATAAAAATAAATTTAGGATTTTGTTATCGAAACGGGCGCCAAAATTTTCTCAACAATCAACTCTTGTCTTATTTTACTTTAGTAAGACTCCTCTGTTTGGAAGTTGCCTGAGGCTGTTTCAAAGTAGGTATTAACTACTCACAACTTCTTCTTTAGTTTGAACAGGAATTCTCTCTCGGAAAACCCCCTTTTAACCCATTCAATCCCAAACAGTTAGGAGTGAAGTGCTTCGCTGGTTTGTAGATAAACTCTTGACTCGTCAAGAATCATAGCAATTACTTAAAGGAATAGACTTTATTAATTGGTAATTATATTATAATTAATCTAACTAATTATAATAGAATTAAATTTTATATATATATATATATATATATATATATATATATATATATATATATATATATATATATATATATATATATATATATATATATTGAACATAAATATAACAAATAACAGATAACGCATTTCAATGCAGAAAAATTAATTAACTAATTAACAGAAATATTTTACGTTTAATATGTCAATGATGTAATTTGTGCATAAATTGAAAAGCTCACCAATATTATTTGATCGTTAGATAGAAAATCTCATGATTCTTTTATTAATCGGGAGATATATTTTTATTAAAAAATCTATATTAAAATAAATATAAATATTAAAAATCTAATATTTTTATTGATTATTGATTAATAATCTGCCTATCGGGTAGGGACAAATTCAGATAATAACTAAATAAATAAAAATCTAATAAAAAATATTAAAAAATTAAAAGTCAAAAATATTTGTCATTTATGATAAGCATGACAACTATGAAGAAATGTTTATTTTTATAATTAAGAACAATTTTATCCGCGGTATAGAGTTATTATTATTGTATCATCTGAGTTTCCGTAAAAATAAAAATTAAAGTAATAAATTTCGAGACTTCGATAAAGATAAATATCGATTTTTAAATAGAAAAGTCCAAACACATATCAGGTTTCCACCTCAAATCGTTTTCTTAAGTTCAATTATGTTAAATGTTTAATTGGCTATCGTTCTAAAACTACTGGCCAGAATTGGATAAGATTCGATATTTTTTTATCAGTGCACTCACTTAATGTATACACATTTTTATTTGAATACGCGCGAAGTTGGTTTTTGTCTTGTCCAAGTTGAATTTGTGTACATAATTTGACATGGAATAAACAAGGCTTTATAGTCTGTTGTACAGATCCCTTTTTTAAATTATTAACATCTGCCTAAAACTTCGCAAATAGCTTCATCTCATCGCAACCTACAAATATTTTCTGGATTTGTAACACGGAATATTATTTTCGAAGGACTTCTTATGTCAATTCAGAAAGAACCACTTACTATTACCTTAATCATTGTTTTATTTATTCAAAATTATTACAATCTGTCACAATTAAGGACATTTATAATAGTGTTCAGAGAGCGCATTCACACTCTAAGCTTAATTATTAATATAGCAGATTTATTACTTGAAAATATTAGATAGTGTCATACTAATACGTTAATAATTTAAATAAAAATAAACAAGTTGGTAGTGTCATACTAATACGTTAATAATTTAAATAAAAATAAACAATTTGATTGTACAATGTATTCCTTATTTTTCCTCCAGCTAATGTTTCATCCATAAAAAATAAATTTATAGTATTAAAAACCAAGTGTATTTGATCGGTCAAGTAAGCATGGATCATATTTGTTTAAAGATATAATAACCGTTATTTGTATGTATTATTAAATGTAGATACCGGTTACAAGAATGCTAAATTTATTTTGGATCCGATTAGTTCGATTTTAAGATTTATAATCAAGTAGGGCATACATTATTAATGGAATTCACAAACTATTCTGCCTTTCGAGTCAGTACTAAAGTTAAGACATTTAACGCCTAAATTTTGAATTCGCAAAGCTAAAAATGGAATAAATTCAAATTTTGTTCTTTACATTGTTCCCTTGAGGATTCTTTTTATGTATTGTTTACCAATGAAAGATGGCATGACTACCTCAGATATAAAAAGAGTTTAACTTTCAAACTCCTGAGCTGTAAACGGAAAATAAAATTCCTAAGTTCTCCGATAAACGTTAAAGTTAAACTGAAAATAAAAGTAATTTCTTGCCACTGCTCTACGACTTACTGAAAATCTAAGAGTATCATGTCTCGTATAACTTAAAGGTCATCCATACTTTTCATTTTGTGAGTTTTAGCTTTTATTCGATTCAATTTTTCTCTACAATAAGCACACGAGGTTTTGAAAAATCATGTATTTTTGCCGCTTTCAAATTTAATAATTCTTACAACCCTCAGTATATTTTATATATCATTGAATTATATTTCTTTAGTCCATCATACAAGTTTGTTAAGTAATTAATTATATAATTTTCACTATTTGAATCTTCTTCGTTGGTAAATTTGATTTTTAATTCATATCATGTATTCAAAGTCGAAATCACTTAATCCAAAATACATGAACATACCAACAGTCAAATCCTACATACATAACAAATATATGACATTCTATTCTTCAACTTTTAATCATCCAAATCCACTTGTCTTCTCTCTTTATTCTCCCTGTTACCTGGTGAGCCTCAACGAAGACTAACAAGGCATTGCCCAGAGATCTCTTACTCACAATGTAAATAAATATCAAGAAAACAAAAGAAGACGAATTAAACGGTAACACGCTTGATGCCTTACAACGCAGTAGCAAATATAATGTAAATATAACAAGGTTTCATTTTAATTACATTTCAAAGTATTTACATTTGTGCTCTGTTAGATCAATTCTATGTATTTTATATTACAGATAAATTCTATTATGTAGTAGATAAAGGAGAAAATGAATTTTTTTCAACTCCAAAAACTTCCACACTCAAGTAGTAACATTTTCCTTTCATCATTTGTTAAATCTTTTATTTTTGGAATTTAAGTAAAATATAACAATTTATTTTTTGAAAAAAAAATGAAAAGAAAAACTAAATAAAACTATTACAAACTTCAATGTCAAATGTTTCTAACTTTCTTTTTGAAATTTTGTCAAAGGGGCCATTCTCACTTTTTAAAAAAATTGCAATACAACATTCCATAGGCCTAGAACCCTACGACGTCATTCAAGGCACTGCTGTTAGGTTATAACGTTTAACAAAAAGTTGATTATAAGTTCGAGAGTATATGTTATAAATGGAAAAATCCAAACAACAAAGCCATCAGTCTCGAAACACACAGATGAGTATTTCATTTTCCAACTTTCAGCCATCATCAGGGAAGAAAAAGGAAAAAAAGAAGAAGAAAAAAAGTTTCTATAGACATCTCGCGAAACCATCCAAATCCGTCTGAAGGAAAGAGAAGGTTCTACTAACCACAGCTAAGGAAGGTTATATTGAACAGCTTATTAGACCTAATACAAGGCAGAAAAGAAAAAAATATATATATACATAACTAAAACATAATAATACAAAACATATTAAATAAAATAAAATAACAAATTAATAAATTTAAAAAAAAAAAAAACTCAAAGGTATATATAACATCCATTCCCAACAAAACTCAGTGGATACACGGCCATTCCATAAGCAATATTACCAAAATAAGCATACAGCTAAAAAAGAGTCTCGTGTTTCTTTTCTAACTTTATGCTTATTTTGTTTTAGAATATCTGTTAATTCAATAAGTCAATATAAAATTATTCATAATATTTTTAATAACACCTTTGACAGGGACGGCGCATAGGCCTTGCTTGGAGAATGGTACGTGGTTCAGGCACCCGGAGACCAACAAGCAATGGTCAAACTACACAACCTGCGTCGACTTGGAGGATTTCGAGGTATTCTAAAAATTCATTTTAGCTTATATTATTTTAATTCTACATATTAACATAACAGTGCCCAGAGTGAAGGATGAAAACTATGTTTCTCGGTTTATTACTTCATTTCAAATATATTGAAAACTCAAATCGTTGAATATTAGGTCACTTTTTGTGGTTGATAATTTTTCGTAAAATTTCAAACCTATCTTCCAAAGAAGAGTGATTAGAAAACATGGATTAGGAAACATCCATGAAACAAAGATCCATTTGGACTAAAGAACCAAAGAACCACTTAAGCCCACGTTAAATTAATTTTTTTAAAGCGTTTCATAACAAATTATTATTATTATTATTGAATTCTTGATGGTTGACCATTGTAAACTATTGAGCAAGGAGATAATCCGGGGTAGTGGTCATGAAAAGACTAAAATAGTGAAAAAATAATTTTATTTCAAGCCAACTTTTCGACCCGATTTTGCAGGTATTCTTCAGGGCTAGAGCGAACAAAGGATATACAGAAGGATATAGAAAAATGTAGAAGTTACATAATATTTAGATAAAAATTATGAGCAATCTGAATAAATTTGTTAAAATTATAAACAGTGTGAATAGAAAGTTCAAAAGAAACATTAAGGACAATAAACCATATAAACAGAGTAAACGAAGTATAACTAAGTAGTGTTGACCAAAACCGCCTGACTGTTGCAAGACCAAGACCAATACTGGTAAAAAAAATCTTATTTGTGAATAAAAATTAAGGCAAAATAGTTATTAATACTTTACAATTGTAGTTACTATATGTAAAGAATGGGTATAAGCAATATACTTTTGCATTTAACTCTTCCAATTTTTCATTCGGTTCCCTCTATCTGAAAAATTACCGTAATATCTCAATAGTAATAGGCTAACAGGTATTAGCAATACTCTTACGCAATACCAAGACTGAGTGCGCAAGACCAAGACAAATTTGGTCTCGCATTTCCGCAACAATATAACTAAGTAACAAGACCCTAAACTGAATAAATAAATGGTAACAATTATTGTAGTTTAGTGTAGATGAGGAAGTCTCGGTTGAAACTTTCTCGAGTTTCAACCGAAACTCGATGCTGCTTATACTTGTCTCTATTTTTATTTTATTTTCTTTTTTTCGTTTTCTTCACTCTTCCTTTATGTCCATTGTTTCCTATTATTTTTCCTTTATCTTTCAATCTTTTCTTAAGATCTGTAGTATTATATTTATAACTACGTATATTATCCATCCTTCTTATTACATTCAATTTTTACCCATCTACAATAACCATTTATTTACTTCAGTTTAGGGTCTTGTTACTTAGGTTTACTTTGTTTACTCTGTTTATATAGTTTGTTGTTCTTAATATTTCTATGTACTTTCTATTCACACTGTTTATAACTTTAATACGTTTATTCGCATTGTTTATATTTTTTATCTAAATATTATGTAACTTAAACATTTTTCTATATCCTTTTGTTTCTTGTTTGTTCTAGCCCTGAAGAATAGCTGCAAGGTCGGGTCGAAATGTTTGCTTGCAATAAAATTTTTTTCACTATTTTAGTCTTTTTATGAGCTCCACCCCGGACCATCTCCTTGTTCAATATTATTATTATTATTATTTTATTTGTCAACACTTTTACAAAAGGTTTTTTTTTTGTTTACTTGAGAGGGGGAGAATCAACTCCAACCACCTCAGGTATGTTCAATTTTAATTTCTATTGAATGTTGAGAAAGCTTCTTACAATTCTGGCAGTATTCAGCAGCACCGCTTTCTGAGCTTCCTTTATTACATGAGTTGGGAGGCCCAGCCTGTCAGTAGCTTCCACAGTAGACACCGGTACCAGGCCATTGCTGGAGATCACAATGCCCCTAACGGTTACTTTATTAAGTTTATACAAACTTTTTAACTCAGCTGCTAGACCTTGATATTTCCGATTTTTTTCTGCACAGACTGAGTTAATGTTTCCGACATTTGGCACAGCAATATCTATAACTTCAGCCACCTTACTATTGCCGTCAATTAACACAATATCAGGTCTGTTGTGGATCACGAGATGGTCTGTTATAAACGATTGATTCCAATATAATTTTAAGCCATGTTTCTGGCAAATACCTTTAGGGCAATATTTATAGTAGGGCATCGAGTCGTTTAATAATTTAATTTTTAGACTAATCGCCTGGTGATAGACTTTTGCAACATCGTCATGTCTTTTTAGGTATTCTGTACCTGCAAGAGCTCCGCAGCCTCCAGTTATGTGTTGGATGGATTCATATGTGCTTGCACAGAGCCCAAATTTATCCGATACATTCTGTTTCTTCAAGACGTGTCGCCAGTAAAATCTGGTAGCTATAACCTGGTCCTGAATTGCAGTTAAAAAACCTTCAGTCTCGGGGAACAGACTTCCTCCTACCAGCCAGCTAACAGACAAAGATTTATCTATTTCAGTCTGCTGAAGCTGGTGAAAAAACCTTCCATGTAATGCTTTTGACTTCCATTCTTCCAGGCGGTCTTTGTCGGTAATAAAGATTGGCGCAGTTTCATGAGAGGCTAATTGTAGAGCAGTGTGCCCGCGATCGAGATTGCAGATTATCTTATGGCACGGCACTGCGCTTTGTTTAAAGTACTCCCTTAGGTTCTTTTCTTGACTTCGACAAGACTCTTCAATATTTGTAAGACCTCTCTCCTCCTTCCTTTCTTGGCAGGTAAAGCCTTGCCATAGATGCAGTCGGGTGATGCATTCTGGAACCCGTCATACTTGTTCTTATTAACCTATCCAATTCCTGGAGTGACGTTGTGGACCATTTTAGAATTCCAAAGCTGTAAGATAAGGAAGGAATAACCCACGTATTTATAGCTTTTATCATTAAACCTGAAGAAAGATGTGTTCTAAGGATGATCTTTAGTCTTTTTTTAAATGAAGCTATCAATTTACATTTTACATCCTTTCTAGCTATTTTTAAATGCTGTTCTATCCCTAGATATTTATACATATCTTCTTTCTGAAGGCTCTTAATATGATATTCTTCATTAAACAAGTTTTCGGAATTATTTGGTTTTCCTTTTATAACGTGAAGAACTGCGCATTTCTCAGTCCCAAGGGACATCTGTATGGAATCACTAAAGTGGCTAACTGTCTTTAGCATAGACTGGAGCTGGGATTTATTCTTTGCGTAGAGTTTTAAATCGTCCATATAAAAGCTATGACTGATCATTGCACTTAATTCATTAAATTTTACTTTGTATCCGTTTTCTTCACGATTTAATAAAATTGACAATGGAGCCATCGCAAGACAAAACCAAAGGGGGCTGAGGCAGTCTCCCTGGTATATACCTCTTGAAATGGTAATGTATTCAGGTGATTGCTTATCTCCTATTCTCAGTCTTGTTTTCCAGTTGTCCATCAATTTCCTCAGAAGTTCTTTAATATAAGGATGGATTTTATATAAATCCAGAACATTTAAAAGCCAACTATGAGGAACTGAGTCAAATGCTTTTTTGTAATCAATCCAGGCTATTGACAAATTTCTTTTATTCATGGTCGTCTGGCCTGCAACGAATGAATCGATGAGCAAAAGTTCTTTACACCCTTGGGCTCCTTTTCTACAGCCAAGCTGCTCGAGTGGAATCAAATTATTGGTTTGCAGGTGAAATTCAATTTTACTTGTGAGAATGGATGTTAAAATCTTATACACACCGTTGAGCCAAGTAATTGGCCGAAAATCTTGGGGGCCCAATCGATCTCCTACTTTTTTGGGAATCAGCACAGTAATGCCCTCACAAAACGTTTTGGGAATGTCTATCTGCCCTGTTATCATCTTTTTATGATTCATAGCAAGTGTTTCATGCAGGCAGGATAGATTCTTTAACCAGTAATTCTGAATTCTATCACTACCCGGCGCTTTCCAATTTTTCATTTTCTTTGTAGCGATGATTACATCCTCTTTCGAGATGTCGAATTCTGGCATTTGAGGTTTCTCCTGAAGTTCAGTATTTACTAATTTTAACCATTCGTTTTCATTATTATGCTCTACATTGTGCTCCCAAAGCTCTTTCCAATACTCTATAATATTGTCAGTTAATGAACAATTTGCACCTCCCTTATTATCATTACCTAAGCTCCGATGAAACTGCTGCTCACTGTTTTTGAACATTTTGTTCTGCTGTTTTCGAAGTAACGACTTTTTATATCTTCGTATTCTGTTTGCAAAAACTGCAAGTTTTTGCTTCAGTATATTAGCATGTAAAGCCAGTTTTTCGGTGAGCTCAGATTCTAACACCACCCCTATTTGTAGTACAACTATTTCGTAGATTTTTCGTTTTACTTTTGTACTTGCTCCAACGGGGTTCCTGATATAACTCGTTATGACTCCAATATTTGCCCTGAGCGAAGCTATTTTATTTTCCAATCTTCTCTGCCAGCGTGGAAGTTTTGTTTGATTTTTATCTTTCTTTTTTCCTTGTTTTTCCAAGCCAAGTTCAATAACAATGACACTAGCTGCAACATAGGCCCAATGACAAACAGCTTCGACAGTCATTTCTGGGTAATCTACAATAACTTTACTCAGAGCCTCATTAACCCGATTCACAGTCAAACGTGATTTGAAGCTATGGGAAATCTTTGAGAGGATTGGTCTAACATCAAGCGGTATCCCCTCATAAATCACATGCTGGGATAATAATGATTCCATTAGTTTGTCAATGTCTTTGTCTTCTTCTGGAGGAGCTGCCTCTATTGCCGTCAATCTTTCTAGAAAAGGTTCTGTTGGCTGCTCTTCATTTTCAATTTGTACCATTCCTAATCATTCAGATTCCACTATTTTGATATTTTCTGTTTCCACTTCAGATAAAAATTTTCTTGAACGGATCACTCTAACTTGGTCACTTATCCTTTGTGAACTCATTGCCATCTGTGGATATAGTTCTTGCCAATACTGTTGAATCCTTCCTAGGTATCCCATCTTATCTGTTTCCAATTTTATTGCCAAAAGATATGCCTGGATGACA